AAAGCACTCTGAATTTGTCACCACAAATAAAATTAATTTCAAAAAGTTAAATGAAGATGTTTGAAGTAATAATATCAAAAATACTTTTCCTTCCTTCCTTTTTTTCTTATTTATTTTTCCCTGTGCTTTTCCTGCTATAAGTGCTTTGCTATATTGTGACTGAGTGTAAAAAATAAGCCAGCACTATGAGCTGATTATCAACCATACAATAATAAAACAGTAGCCTTGAAGGAAAATAGACATTTTATCTGATATAAGTTTCCAGGGAAGCATTAGGAAAACTTCAATAACTGGATGTACCAATACGGTTTAGGGGCTGACCTTCTGGAGAGGAAATCTGCAGAGAAGGACGTGGTTGTTCTTGTGGACAGAGGGTTGGCCATGAGCCAGCAGTATGCCCTTTTGGCCAAGAAGGCCAATGGGATTCTGGGGTACATTAATAATAGTATGGCCAGCAAGTCGAGGGAGGTGATCCTCCCCCTCTACTCAGCCCTTATGAGGCCACATCTGGAGTGTACAGTGTGTACAGTTCTGGGCTCCTCCATGATGGTGGAGTCTCCTTGTAGCGGAAATGTGCTAAATCACAGCCTGAAGGAGTGATTGAGCACCTGGTGGGAAGGCAGGGCCCACCTGGGGGAGCTCAGGTACATGCAATGCACCTGAGCGACTTGAAGGGTGAAGCCAGGATCCACCCCTTCCTAGACCTCATTTAAGGGTTGGCAGTGGAGGTGAGGGTATTTGATTAGAGATCCCTGCCTACTTGAGGTAAGCAGTTTCTCTTCTTTTGGTTCTGTGTCTACAGCTGCTGCATTTGGTCTTGTCCTCACTTGCTGTAGCCTAGGGTTGTGCTATTCTGCTATTACTGCTGTACTTTCCATGCATTATACTCTGAGGAGATATTCAAGGCTCATCTGGACGCTTTCCTGTGCAACCCACAGTAGGGAATCTGCTTTAGCAGGAGATTGTACTTTATGCTCTCCAGAGATCTCTTCCAAATCAATTCTGTGATTCTGTGACTCTCCCTCTGCTGAGTCAGTGGTTGCTCAGCCTCTCAGGGAGAATGTGAACAATCCCATCTATGCACAATTAGTAGACTGGATCCTTCTCCCAACTATCCTTACATCATAATTTTATATTTGGCTTACCGTGGCAAAGGTATACTTACAAAACAAACTACATATATAGTCACAGTAATTAGAATGCCTTTCCATTGTGTTTCCAGACATTCATTGTTAGAACAGGGAATGCAAAACTTAGCATTAAAAAAAATCTTTTATCACAGATGAATTAACTGATTTGGGTAGTGTAAGATAAAGTCTCTATTCATAAAGCAGATATCAAATTTACATTCTTTCCAGCTATCCTCTACTCCTCTTTTTTTTTTTTTTTTTTTTCCTCCAGTAGCATGTAAGAGATTTAAACAGATTATTTGGGTTAGAATATGAAATCATTTTGCACCCCCTTCCCCAACCCTTAGGATCCCATCCTAAGGGGAGTTTAACAGAAAAACTGAATCCAATCCGTGAACTTTACATTCTGTACTTGGCACATCTGGAGTGCTGTTTACTAGGGCAGGATATTGGAAAGGAGTCAATGGACCTGGCTCAGGCATTCACAGATTGCATAGCCTCAAGCAACTCGTTTGTCTTCTGTGCATGTTTTGTTCCTCCCACTCACTGGTATTCATGTAGATAGAGTGGTTTTTAGAGCAGTATGATATCTCACTATATTTACAAGGTGCACAGCACGATTGATTTCTGGTGTTGGCCAGTACCCCCATATCCCAAATGACAAAGATGTGCTGCTTTGGGTCAAGAAACTTTTGAGCCTTTGTACTGGGTTTGGCTGGGACAGAGCAACTTTCTTCACAATAGCCCATATTTTGCTTTGGATCTGTGCTGAAGTGGTGTAAGTTACACACCAACATTTTAGCTATTGCTGAAGAGTGTCTGAATGACATCCAGGCCTTCTGTTTTCCACTATGCCTTCTCACTTTAAATAGGCTTGGCTAGAAGCTAGGAAGGGTCCCAGCTTGGTCTCTTGACCCATAGCGTCCAAAGAGATCTTGTCACGTAATGTCATTATCAGATGACATTCTCAATTTCTCTAAAACTAGGGGGAAGCTTTTCTGAAGTAGACAACGCTCTGGGACCAGTCCACTGATCAGATGTGTTGAGTGATTCCCTTTCTGTCACTCTTTTCTTTTTATGTTTTATTCTTCACCTATTTAACATTACTTTTTTTTCCTCATTTTTGCACTTCTGAATTCTCTCCCTCATTCTGCTGGGAGTAATGAGCAAGTAACAGGATGGGAACTTACCTGCTACAGCCTTAAACTGTTGAAGGCCATAAATGTGTATTTTGAAAGCACTGCTCTGTGCCTGATCTATTCTTCTGAATTGCTGTATTTGCTATATTTGCCACATCTTTATCTGTTTTATTTATTATTAGAGCCAGGATACAAGGCTAAGTGCAAGATTGATCTTCTCTCATAGAGTCATTTCATCTTCTTAGGTACTTACTTCAGTAATCATCTGTGTGGCGTTGCTTGATTTGTGTCATTATTTCAGAATTCATTTTCATGTGCCAGTAATTGGTTTTCAGTAGTGGATGTAAGGATAGCCCTGACTCTAGTCTCCAGTCAGCTCAGTTTTATGTAGAAAGTATACATCTTCATTATGAATGACTGACAAACATCTCAAACTGAGAAGATTATAAGAAGTTTACAGTAGTTTTTTAACACAGGGATAGGAACCTGAAGAAAAACAATTTTTCTCCAAGTTTGAATGGAATTTCAGCAACAAAATTACTTCTACTTACTGTTGTCAGCAGGCACTCAGATCTTTACAGGAAGAATATCCAATTCCTTCGGTATTGCTGCTTTCTGATCATTTTTGTAACTATGGTCATAAACGTGCTCATCTTTTTTTCCTCATTCAGAAGATTGTCCATGAGGGAAAGGCAACTTGCTTATTCATGCACTGGTTTTCTGGAGCTTGACATATTCATCATGGCTGAGATAGTGGTGTTCTTTGACAAGGAGCAAGGTGTCAACCTAGAAGAAATAATTTGACCATAGATCTTTCTTCATGTATTCTGTCTCTAGTTTCCCAGCTGACAATGTCAAGTACAGTAAACAAATCTACTAAGTTACTAAGCTGGTAGCATTTCCCATTCCCACAGTCTAAGCTTATTTCTAAAGCTGCTGCTCAGTTGCCTGCCCCATCAACAAAAACCATCCTGGAATTTGGAGAGAATAACAACTTGTCTCCCCAGTGTGAATGGTTAAGACCAATGAGGCCCAATGCACTGACAACATTGTCAGATTTGGTACTCCGGGCACCAAGATAAGATGGGAATTTAAGGATATTAAAGGACATTCTCCTTGCTTTTCTAGAAACTCCCTGGAAGACTGAGGGTTTTGCGGGACAGGAAACCCAAGGGTAGCTGGAAAGATGTGGGGCTGTCTCTACAGTCTGCATGGACAAGGTGTACTGAGCCATACATCAGCTTAAAGCACTGGTACAGTAACAGCACTGGACATAGTGAGAATGTTTTTCTGAAGGTAGACTTAGGCAGGAATACTCAGAGATGTGCCTGTACTGGAAGGGATTGGCCTTATCTTAATAGCAATACTTAGACTGAGGTTATCAGGCATTGATTACAAAAGATGTGGCTAAAAGGTTACTCTGAAGTTATTTTTGGATACCTTATTTAGTCTGTGGCTTGAGGGAGTTCTTCACCTCAGCCATTACTTCCTTAGGAGGTTCAGGGCAAGCAGACAATAGGTGGCTGTGAGAGCTGTACTGGATCCAAGAGAGCAAATTTGATTGTGATGCTTGGATCTATATTTGTACACACAAAAATGGACTGAAATTTATAGTCTCTCCCTCACAGGATGGGAATGAATTTCAGTACACTCATAGAAAAGGAAGTTATGGCTGAATCTATGATTCATCCAAAGAAGAAATGAATAAACCCAGTACGCAGACGTAGAAGCAGCTGTAGATTAAAAACTCCTGCTGGAATTAAAAAGTCTGCTGGAATTTGGCACAGATAAAACACTTGGGCTGAAAGCTAAGTATCTCTGTGAACATTTAAAGGAGGCTGCATCTAAAATTGCCTCTAAAATTGAAGAAGGCCTAAACACTTGAGAGAAAGCATCCAGGAGAGGATGTGGTATAGAAAACCTACTTGGAGAATGCTTAATATAAGTTGGGGGTAGAGCAGAAAAAGGGGAAGGCTAGCAGCAGGCCTTGAAGGTCATTTGCTGACCCACAACTTTTCTACTTCTCCTTCAAGTGAAGGAATTACAGTTGGAAAGAGGATCCAGAGGGTAGGCCCCTGACATAAATCTCTTTCCCTAGCCCACTGTCCTTATTTGGATTTAGTGAAGTGTCTCAAAAAGTACTGAGGCTGTCCAGTTGAGAAGCATTCCTGGCTGGGAAATAGCCTTCTGGAAAAGCTGCTGGTTGCTGCATACTGGCCCTACAAGACAGGACTAATGAAACCTATGTGTAATTTTCACCCTTCTTTATGGAAAACATGTGCCAGCATTGTCCTTCAGCTCAGTAACATAGCAATCTGCCACAGGGTACCTGCTTTTTCCCCTCTGACAAGCAAAGGACAAAAGAAATTGGAGCTAAATAAAAGTGGAAGAGAGGAAAAGGATGCTTAGAACCTAATAGACTTTTGAATGTCTAGAGAGACGGAAGCTGAGGGAATCACACTTCTATAGCAGAGACAAGCTACAGGCTTTCACAAACATTGTGAGTAGCTGCGGGAAGTAAATGCATTTCTCAAGCGACAGGTTAGCAGCTAGTAAGGAACTGAAACAATATTCTCATACAAGAATAAGTGCCTTTTAAAAAGACACCCAATACTTTTTTTGTTTTCTTAAATAAATATGGAGTAGCAAAATGGTGTTGCCTCCAGCCAATTTAATATTATAAAATGTTAGTGACTTGGATCTTATGATCTATGGACCACATGCTTCTAGTCTTATTGAGGAAATTCTTCATTAAAACAAAGCTCCAGCTAGATAAGCCTACTGGATTTACCCAATTATTTTGAGAAATGAGCTTTGGCTGTCTGTGTGAATTGGACTGTAAGTCTGTTTTCCCTGTCTAAAGAGAATAATTCTTATAACTTTAAATGCTATAGCAATTTAAATGTTATAATGTTTCACAATCATGTAGTTAAACACAGAAATATGTTTATTTACCCAAACGAAACAGAGGAAATGATTCCAGCCCTCAGGTTTTGAATTCCCATTTAAATCTGTGAACATCAGTTCACAACTTAGATGTTTGTGTATCTATGTACCTTCAAAATACTCATATTTCATAGGCTTTTTCACATTAATATTCACCAACAGTATCACAAAAGTTCTTTTTCTTTTACATAACTGTAAGCAACAGTAATTCTAGAAACACTAGAGAAAAAAAAGCATAGCAATGTCCACAGTTACAAGAAAAAGTGCACATTACTTGGTCACAATCACAGTCATTACTTGGAAAACTATATGTAACAAGTAGATATAAAATATCACCGATGCCTTAAACTCATTGTCAAAAAATGGAATTACATAAAATTTTGTACATGAAATAAGGCAAATTTAGGAATGCACAAGAAAATTGTTATTCAACAAAAGCCAAACAACAGAACAGATAGTACAATAAGCATAAACTAAATTACCTTTTCTATATACTTAAAAATAAACCTGCCATAGTGCACAAAGAAAACACCATTAATGTGTAATCAATATTATAAAATAAGAAATAGAGGGGTTGGGAAGAGTGGGGGGAGGAGGGGAGAGAAGAGTTTCAGTATAGTTGCAGCTGCATCCATTTACATTTTTGTACAGTTTTTAGCTAGGCCTGGGCATTATACAAATCATACCAGAAGTGTCAGAGACCTTCCTCCATAAGAATTTTGTTTAAATTAAGGAAAAAATAATAAATACACACAAGAGTGCAAATTTTCAGATTGTCACTTGCAACCTCTTAACATTCATCACCTATATCCAATCACAACTAGAGGGACTTGTTTAGGAAAGCAGCAGTGATCATGGAGTTAGATGAGCTCACTGTAAGAAATCAACTTCTCATTTTGTTTTCTTAATGATATGTTGTTTTTTTTAAAAAACCCTCAACATTTTATTAATTGCTAATAAAGCTGCAATATATTACAGAATGGAGCTGAGAATGGTATGAATGCAGGAAATGCATGCTTCCTTTGGAAGGTATTCTGTAGATGACAATTTACAGTACACAGGGGAGAATTATCCAGCATCAAGAGTTACTCACTGTAGAAAGAATATGAAGTTGGGGAAAAGGGCACAGTCAGGGGTTCAAGAGAGGAAGGGGGACTTACAATAGCTCCTCAAAACATTTTTAGGACCAGTGAAAAAGTTTACCAAAGTAAAAATGAAAAATCTTGAATGAAAACAAAAAATCTTTTGTTTTGCTTTTTATAAAAATTACATTTTTTTAAAATACAAGATCCTTTTAATTGCAATTGTGCCCTGTAGCAACAGGACATTTGGCAACAGTTTGCCATATACTGCAGCTTTAAGTCCAATGAGTCACATTCCACTAATATTGCACTTGGATCTTGAACCATTTTTCAAAAAAAACACCACAGCATCTTCTGCTTCCTCCACGTGTTAGAACGAGTTAATTTCTAGCCACTGTTTCGATATTTATGCTGACACACTAAAACAAAAGCAATAGGCTGGACACAGTAAAGTACCTCAGAAATACCAGAGGTCGAAGTTCACTTGAAGCACCTTAACACATCACTTTATGGATCAAGAACAGTGTGGCATCATGGTAATTAACTCTCCTAAAAGACTGCGCAGTAACTGAAGTGTGTGCTCTGGGAAATCAAAATGTCATTAGTGGAAACTCTGAGATAAGACCAGGCCGGTGTGTAGGTCACATGACTCAGTTCTGCTGCAAAATCAGGTTTTCCAGTTCATCTGCAGAACGCAATAAAAAGGCAGCTGATTCCCGGTACCCTGCCACCAGCTGCCTCACAGCGTTGATTTCAGTGGGGCTCAGCTGGGGCCTGGAGCTTGTACTGCTGGAGGAGCCTGAGCTGCTTGCTAACTGCCTCTTCATACTGAGATCTGTTGGACCTGCAGGCAACAAAGGGAAAGAAAAGAAGGCTCAGATCCTGCTGCCAGAGACATTTCACCACCACAGGTTTGTAGTGACAAAGCCACAGCAGCAAAACTGTGGATTTGTACTTTCAGTTGAGTGCCAGAGAGAAGCAGCACATACAAATAACAGTCCAGTTACTATTCCCTTGACAGGAACCCCAGAGATTTGTTTTCATATATGACAGGAATCCTTAAAATTCTGCTCACGTGACACAAGTCCTCTGCCACAAGGAACCTAGCCTCTGGGGCATCCCAACAGTGCAAGATGCTTGACCTGACACTGATGGGATCTGCTGCTGGCAGGCAGGCCATCTGCACACTTGCATTCATCATCACAGCACTCTTTAGATATCTATTTTCACAACTTTTCGTTGCTTCAATTAGCACATGGCCAGATTGTGAATCTCTTACTGACATAGGTAACTGGTCATTCACTTGAATAGCCCCAGTGCCATGTGTTAAATAGCCAGTCATGAATGATCTGAGGTTGGTGACAATCTGGCTGATATAGGTAGAAACACACTGTAAATTTCTTGTGGGCTGCATACAGCTGGCAATATACTGCAGGGACCCTGTAAGGTCTGAGCACTGGCAAGAGAATCTGCAGCAATCACCATGTTCTACTGGCAGCTTATCCACTGTACCAACGTGTTCTCAAAGAATGCTCTCAAGAACGTGTTTGCTACAGCAGAATACAGCATACCCAAGGGTAGGCTGCAAATTACAGTAGTTAGCAAAGCCACCTGCTAGCATGAAGTCCAGCTTTCTGGGGAACTTCCCAGGACCACAGTTAACAGCTAAGGCATGTGGTGCTTTGATGAGGTGTCTGTCTTTTCCACAGAACACTATTTAAAGTTTTTTTTTCCTGCCTGGAGATTTATACAGGCAGAACCGGACTCAAGTCTTTTTTAAACATATAAGGATATCTATCATAGAATCATATCACAGTATCTTTTGAGTTGGAAGGGACCTTTAAAGGACATTGAGTCCAACTCCCTTACAATGAACAGGAACACCTACAGCCACATCAGGTTGCCCCCAGCCTCACCTTGGAAGTCTCCAGGAATGCAACATCCACCACCTCTCTGGGCAACCTATTCCAACACCTCACCTCCTTATTGTAAAAATCTTCTTCCTTATATCCAGACTAAATCTCCCATGTTTTCATTGGAAACCATTTCCTCTTGTCTTGTCACAACAGACTCTGCTAAAGAGTCTGTTCCCTTCCTTCTTATAGCTCCCCTTCAATTAATGAAAGGTCTCTATGAGGTTGCCCCGGAGCCTTCTTTTCTCCAGGCTGAACAGCCCCAGCTCTCTCAGTCTGTTCTTGTAGGGTGGTGTTCCATCCCTCCCATACCTATGTAAGTAAATATCAGGAAGCTTATTATATGCAAACCTGGATAAACAGCATTCATTCACTTGACAGTGTAGCAAATCTCTTCTTTTATCAGGCAGAAAATCAGCCTAACCCAGTATTAATCTTTTGCGAACTGAGATCAAGTTATCCACAGCAATGCATCGTGCTTTCCTATGAGATAAACGTCACTGTTCAGTTTCATCTGGAAAAACTGCATCAGGGCCCAAGCCTTCTCAGCACTGGCCCACTGGATACATACTTCTCTCTAAAGAGATTGGAATCATTATAAAAATCTAGCATATTCAACTTTAGATTACTAAACACACCTATTCATATTCTAGAGATGTACCTAAATAATCTCATCAGAACCACAGGATTCAAAAACACGTTTGCTAGATTAAGCACTATTCTCAAGAGTTGCTCTGATTTCCAGAAGCAGAAAATCCGGTCAAAAACAAGAATGTTTTCTTTCTTTTATGTTTATGCAACAGTATGGCTGAGATCACAAGGAATGATGAAACTGCCATGTCTCCATTTTCCCTGAAGTTAATGAAAACCTCCCCTCTACTGAAAGGAGAATGGGACTATGAAAAGAAACTACTCAAACCAAAAGGGTCCGCTTAGATCTTCCTGGTTCCTGCTATGTAACTGGCACGAACACTACTTAGCCTTACAACTATATTATCCAGTTTCACACTAGCATAAATGAATTGACTTTAAATGACTTCCAGAATACAAAGGATAAATAAGAGGACAGTGACCTCAGCAAATGTTTCAGTGCGAACATACGCTACAGGCAAACGATCACAGTGGGAAGAAGCACAGAGGATACTTCCAAGTAAAACCTTAAACCAGCACAGAGAAGGGCATACTAATCATAAAGTCAGCTGGAGTGAATAGTGGTGAGAAGCCATTAAAGACTTGTATATTTATTGAGGCAGCAGTGGAAAAGCTACCACTGACATATTGAGGGCACTGTGCTCCAGGTAAACCTACTTTTACTTTCATGCTCTTGCCTTGATTCCCATTCATGTCATAGCCTAGAACACACACACACACACAAAATATAGGGCAGAATGGAGCTGCTGTGGCAGAGCTCAGGCTTTTTTGTGAAAGGAAACTGAAGGGCTTTTTTCCTTTGTAATCTAGATTTTAAGTGGTTGAAGAGAATGTTATCAGACTCCTCACAAATTAACGATGTGAGAAGTTACACTTGTGAGTACAAATCTGTAGAGTCAAAATGCAGACCTGGCCCTGTGTTCCCAGATGTCCCAATTAACGATTATGAAGACAGCTCTCTAATTCTTCAAAATAGGCGTCTTTGAATCACAGACTCATTAAGGTTGGAAAAGAATTTTAAGATCATCTAGTCCAATCACCTATCAACCACCAATATTGTTTTGTGCAAGTGCAGTTAAGAATTAAGAAGTTAATTTCACCGTGCTACTTCAAACTATTTTTTAATTATAAGTAGAAGGAAAATAGGTTTTTCATTCACAAGGCAAGTTCTGCTTTGTTCTCAACAAGTAACTGCTGTCCTTCTTCCCCTCAAAGAAAAGTATCCCAGGCAATAAAACAAAGAAACCCAGACATACAGAAAAGAGTTTTTGGCTATGGTTTCTGTAAGTGAATATACCCTGCTTTCCCAGGAATGGAAGCTACACATGCTGTGAGAACGAAACAGAAGGAAAAGAAGCCATGCTTGATGTGAGGATAAGGACTTCAGTTCTTTTAATTTTGCAATGTGACCCCTGTGCCTCACCTCCAAAGCTTGCCAATGACAAGCCAAGCTTTATATCTGGGACAATATCTCATTCAGACACTCATCTCATGATGTATTACACTGAATTCATCTTTTAATAGCTATGATAGACACTTACTGGCAATATTACAGATTATTAAAAGATTGTTCAGGCTGCTTTATGCTAAAAGTGTTTTAGCTTATCTGTAGTTCTATCAGTCATAACTAGCCCTTCAAGCAGAGAATCAACTTTTTACGAGGGTAGACAGTGATTATAAGGAGGAATGGTTTTAAGTTCAAGGAGGGAAGATTTAGATTGGATGTCAGGGGGAAGTTCTTCACAGAGAGAGTGGTGAAGTGCTGGAACAGATTGCCAAGAGAGGTTGTGGATGCTCCATCCCTGGAGGCGTTCAAGGCCACACTGGATGGGGCCCTGGGCAACCTGGTCTAGTACCACACCTGGAAGGAAGGTTGGTAGCCCTGCCTGTGACAGGGGGGTTGGAACTTGATGATCCTTGGGATCCCTTCCAACCCAAGCCACTCTATGATTCTAGGATAAGGAATAAATGCATCTTACTCTTCTAGTATTGGTTTTCCTGTGTAATTTTGTTTAAATTAGCTATTGAAAAACCTAAAACTTAATACTTTTCCACCACATTCCTTTACACAGGCAAATAGATCACAGCTATTCTGAAGGCTTCATAAAATAACTGGTTACAGTATACATTTCATATACCTCCATCTCCAGAAGCCATCACTACAGATGCCTACATATGGAGAAAGTTGAGTAGCTTATGCACTATTTCTCCTAAGTAGAAGTACTTCCTTCACATGCTTAACAGTACTTATTAACCTGCCAATCTTCACAAGAATGGGGGAGCATATCCTTAAATAGAGGGGAAAGCCTAATCTGAATTTTTTTGCAACAAATTTTGCAGTGTTAAGGTCCTCCAAGGTAGTACTGCATGATTTAGGATATTATTTCCCACCCTAGAGCATTTCAGGACAATTAAAAATCCTATATGCAACTGTCAATAGGCTCCACAGTGTCCACGGCAGTTTGTGCAAGTGAAGATCAAGCACACATTGTAAAGTAAATATCCAGTTTTCACCTTTATTTATTTTTCTTAGTGCATGAGTGCAACTCATTACTGTCACCGCCCATGTTCCTATAGCTGCACTATGTTCTCTTAAGCAGTGGGTTAAACACACTCACAAGACAGATCCTTTCCTTTATAATCTCTGCAGTATACTTTCTGAAGACTACAAGATACTTTCCCTCTGCCCCTTGGAGAGGTCACCTGGTTGACACTTGAACACAGGAATATTGTACACTTACCACCTCAGTCCAGTTACACAGACCTAATTTCCCCTGTGAAGTGAAACAGTTCCTGCTGGAATCACATCAAGCTAAATAGGAGAACTCTGAAAATCCACTCTTTACGTGTTAGACAACCACTTATCAAGTTAGCTGCTGGGAGTATCTGCCATTAAATACACTGTGGGCAAATGGCTTTTCTGTAAGTCACAGGTCTGAAATGAAGCTGGTTATTGCCTCATGCACTACTCATTAGCAATGCAATTTATATTAAATTTCAAAATACAACTCAGACATAGAGGTACTATTACTGATTGCCCAGACAGTATCAGTATTTGTCCCAGCAAAACTCCCTTTAGAATTGCATGCTGTAGCTGGATAGACAGAAATCTTATAATTACTACTGAAGTAAAATCCGTAAATGAATAATAAATATGTCATTGACTCTTTCAGTATCTCTAACAATTAAGAATAATAAATCATTTTTAGAAGTTGAATGATTTTAAGCATCTAAGCTTCTATACTTTTATTAGCAGCTAAGGAACCTCTTTCATCAAAGAGTTTCTTGTGTCTTTTCTACTGCACGTATACTTCTCCTACTTTTTTCCCCACAAGTGGCTTCAGAAGAATCACAGAATTACAAGGTTGGAAAGTACCTACAAGATCATCCAACCAGTGGTAGTGTCCAATGCTACCACAAGCAAGAAGTGAATAATTGTACTGGATTCACCTCTATTCCCACAGAAATAAATAGAAAAACCATCAAAACATGTAACTTTCCCAAAATCAGATCTATTTACTATTACAGGACTGTTTTATTGCAATATTATGTATTTGTCAATGTTTCTTGTCCTCCTACCTCTAAACAGAACAGATGTGCCATAAACTATTCTTATAAGTGTCAAGAGATCTTAGATTGGGAAATCAGGGACCAATGCATTGGGCCTTTCAAGCTTCTTTCTCCCTCCTACACCCTTCCCTCTGGGAAACACGTTTTTAGATAATTTAAACTCTTGCCTGAGAATAGAGATGTCAAAACACAAAAATATCTACAGCCACTGAACATCGTGCATTTTCAACAATCAACAAACACACTGGTTTTCAGTGAGAGGATTATATGAGACACTCCAGTAACATTTTATATCCATCACAGGAGATTAGTTACATAGTATACACTTGTCTTGCCTGTCTCTTGGACTTTGTACAAAGGCAGAAAAGATACTGTCCGATTAATTCACAGACATTTCATCACAGTTCCTATGGTGGGAGCAAGATAATACTTACAAATGCCATGTGACTGATAATTTCAAGAGGAGAGGAAGAAATATGAGGATGATCTTAATACACAATTCAGACAGTACTTCATAGGGAAATTCCCACTCCTGCCACAACATATGCCAATTTCTCCCAACTCTGCATTTTGCCTTTTTGAAATGGAACTAAGCACACCCCCACAGATTCCTAACTGTATCTGTCTTGTTCTGCATCTCTGCAATAAAGAGAGATTGCTTTTCCTTTCTAGCTCCACTCAATTTCAGAAGGATAGCACTGAGAACAAAGAAAACTGTACAGCAGTAAAGACATGCTGGAGAAGGCAACTGGGTGGTTGCCTGTTCACTCCCTGCATCATGGCCAGCCATGTTGTGGGTGACCCAGTCAGCACTTTAAGAACTGGCTGGACTCTTGATATTCTCAATTTGATTATTATTTTTTTCTTTTTTAATTACTTATTTCCGCTTTATTACCAAAAAACCTCTACCGAACATTCAAATGTCAAGATTTTACAGATGATAATCTTTACAGCTTCACCAAATCTGAGCACATTTTCTCAGAACAGAGAAAAATCCCCGTGACAACTCCCTCTGCCAAGTGTTGTTTGTGGGCCATTTCATAAAGGTGCTGGGGTTCCTCATAAGCACATAAATTGGCACACCTTCCCAATAACCCATGGCTAACTTACTTTTGATGAAACAACTTCAAAAATATTCAGCCCACAGATGACCTCTGAATGGAAAATTTCAGTTCAAGTAGTTCAAGCTTGGCAAAGTTTATAAACAAGAAAAACAAGTTTGCATGTACGGAAAAATGGAAAAGACATACAGTAATTTTCATAGAATGGCTTGGGTTGGAAGGGAGCCCAAGGATCACTAAGTCCTAACCCTCCTGCCACAGGCAGGGCTGCCAGCCACTAGATCAAGTACTAGATCAGATTCCCCTGTTTATCAGTAACAAATATCAACAAATGTTAACTTGGACTGAGCATGAGATAAATTGATGGCTCCTCATTTTACAAAACTACTATACAGATCCTGAAGCCTGAGCTGATTGGATGACATAGTAGACTTTTCAGGAGCTTGAAGGACTAAGAAGGCTGATTTACGTGTAGGTAAAGCTGAGAATGGCTTGGAGAGTAGAGGCATCATGGGGCAGCAGAGTGACTGGGGTACTTGCTGGGCAACAGGAATTTTGGCCAGAGTGTGAAGGCCTGCCTGAGGGAAAGGGGACTGCAAGAGACTTGTGTGGATTCAGGACCTGGTCAGAGTGTGAATTTATTAGGACTTTCCAGGAAGACTTACCTGAGTTGGAAGGAGACTGGACGTTCGTGGAGCCTGGGATGCAGTGCTGAGTTGTGGCTGTAGTTGAAGTTGGCTGCACATCTGTGTAGAGAAAGAGACAGAAGAACTGCTTTGTCATATGATAATACAAGGGAATGTCTTGGGTGAGTCTTGCATAGCCAATCTACCATCTAGACTGAAATGCAGGGGGTTTTTGTTTTGTTTTGTTTTTTTTACAGACAGTTGAAAATGGCTGACATTTCTGCCTGGAAAACCTGACAACAGAGAAGTTGTTCCCAGATCACTTCAAGGAAGCCCAGCAGGGGCAGTAGAAACATACTCTCTAAGGGAAAATGGGCCTTGGGAAACAAAATAGCTGTGGAGATCCAGTCCTGACAGTTGGCAGCCACCAGGAGAGAATCATCATCATAGAATGGCCTCGGTTGAAGAGGACCACAATGATCATCTAGTTTCAACCCCCCCGCTATGTGCAGGGTCAAATGGTAATCCATCAGACAGAGACATCTGGGATGTTCCTACTTCTGTGGGTTTCTGACAACTGATAGTGGCAATTAAATATTTTGCTCCCAATGGAGTAGTTTGTTTCCTGCCCTCAAGCTGGATATCTCTCCAGGTATGGTGGAGCTGGGCCAGATAAAGCCTCTGTGGCTGGCAAGCCAATTTCATTCACACTAATATCATTCCTGGAGCTTTTCTTTTCAGCTCTGTAAGCAGGAACAACTCCATCAAACTTAAAAAAAAAAAAAAAAAAAAAAAAAAAAAAACCAACACCAAACAAACACCAAGAACCATGGAAAGCCACACAGCCACACTTCTCAACAAGTAGTTCTCCTTGAATATCTAGAAGAGTCAACAGTTTCTCTCCAGCCTGTGTACAGGCTGAAAGAGGCTCTAACAATCTGTGGAGTTCTTGCTGTTCAGATGAAGCTTTCAAGCTGAGCTGGTTTGCATAGATGGTTAAAAGCAGAGGAGAAAAAAAAAAAAAAAAGGACTTAGGAGTCCACACCTTTCCCTGCTGTGTTTATTTCACTCCTACAATAAAGGAAGGGTCATTGTACAAGCTCCTGTGTTCTGCTTGCTCATATATAGCAGTTGCATAAAGGCTCACTCCATACAGTTGTGTAAGGAGCGAATTATGAATCTGTAATGCGCCCTGTGGAAGGACAGACTGAGGAGGGAAGCATTGCAACAGCAGAGAGTTCCCTGAGCCAAAGCCACCAAACAGTTGGGTGAGCAGACAGCAAAGTCCATAAGATGGTATCAGTGTAGGAATGAACTCTATAGGGAAGAAAATAATCAAAATAAATTATTAACTGAGTGGAAATGCCCAGAAATAGATGGAAAAGCTAGCTAAAAATTCATGGTTTGAACAACTTCTTCCTTTTTCCTTGTTTAGAAGATACACAAAAACAGACTGTATTTGTTTAGACATGTATCCTGACTCAGATGTGTATTTATTTTTACACTAGGAGAACACTTGTAAAGGTGATGAGAGCATTTGATGGGTTTCTGAACTGAAGAGGAAATGTGTTCTTAAAATTCACTTAGGTCCTGAAAACAATTTGCAACAAACTCTCTCAATTTTCCAGAGAGGGAATTAACAAGATTCCCCCAAATTTATAATGATTGAAAACAGCCACCATGCGAGATCAGTCAAAAGGGAATTTGTTACTACTCTCAACTACAACCCCAACCAAGAATGAAAAACCAAATATCCATGAACATGTAGGAGATGATGATCAAATCCCAAATAACTGACCTCCAAATCCCCCAGTTTGTCCTACAGAGATACTAGCTAATGGAGCTAGCAGTCCTCAGTAGTCCAGAGATAATCAGTTTGACTACTGATTGCTTTTGTGTCAATGAAACTAAGAAACTAGTGGCATTCCCACTCCACAACTTTCCTAATGAACTTCTTGAAATGGCAGGTGGAACACAGACCTGCAGCCAGCTACATTATTAGCATTAACAACTGGTTTTCAAGTGCAATCACATGGACAGTAAGTTTGTGCAGTTCTGGATCCCATGAGATCCCTGCAAAGAAGATGGACAACTCTGCACAATGCTTCAACTGTGAGAGTCAACTGGAAGAGATGCAATGGTTTACTTGTCTTCCAAAGTAAAAAAAAAAAAAAAACAAACAAAACAAAACATACAGACAAAATTTGCCAGGGCAAGTAGGAAAAGGAGAAGAAGAAGAAATGTTTGGACATATATCACCATGCAACCCATAAGCATCCACTGATCCCTGTATCCTGGTATTGCTACACAGTGGAACGCAGTGAACTCCCCATAGTTAAGTGGCAACGTTAGCTGTGCAGTCTCTGATAGCTCCATGTAAGTAGGATCAATCCTACTTATACTTGAATGAAAGAGCAAACTGCTTTCAGTGGGAACTTGCTTAAACATTCTCTGACCATAATATAATAATGTAAAATAGTTTTAAAGTTCTTGTATATTTTCCCAGATCTCCACAGTCTTACTCCTGTGAAAACTTTTGATTAGAGACTGTATTAAACACCGCATGTGTTTCTCATTCATATGGAAACAATTGTAATCATCATTCACTAAGTGAAAGAATTTTGAGAACTAAAATACTGCATTTAAAAAGCCTTTTAAATATGTAGCACAAATCATTCACAGAAGGGAGATGAAGTAGATGTGACTGAAGGTCACCAGTACAACATACACTGCAGGCTGCAGCCTTGATAACATTCTGAAGATTGCTTAGCATGCTGAAAAAATGGAGGCTGTAGCTGAACACCTCCTGTCTTGCCAAAGTTAGCCCGTGCACCTGAAGCAGAAAACTCCTCAACGACTGAGGATTTTTTCACTTAACACTTGTCATGCCAGAGTCTTACCTACAGTAAATTAAATTAGCCAGACAAACCACGTGAGAAATCTATGTTAATTCATTTCCTTCATAAAGTATAGAGCTTCGTGCTTTCAAACTCCAGCCACATAGCTTGGGTTCAGTCTCACTGAAGACTTGTGAATTAGTCCCTTGAAACTGAAAGAGACTTGTAACATCCAGAGAACAAGGATTTTGTTTAGCAGTAGTCATCTGCAGGATTGCATTCCTCCTCATTATCCACTTACACTCCGTGGATACTGAATCCCTTGGACTAGCTTTCTGTACAGCAGGGGAAACACACACGTGAGCACATACACACAGAGACGTATTTCATAAGGCAACTCACCACTGCTAGAAGCATCGTTGAGATTTAGCAGCCCACCTCCAAGCCCTCTGTAACTATGGTAACTGTAGGTCCCATTTCCATTGATGTACAACACCTCCTGTGTGCTGGAAACAGCTGATGTTGAATAAGTGACCTGGGCTGGCTCCTGTTTGTACTGTTTGTCAGCTGGTGTAGCCTCATCCTGCAAAAAAACAAGGAAGGTTTTGAATTTTTTTTTTTCATTTTACCTTGCATAAGAAGGGTCTCATCCATTGTTAAGACTTCCCATGTATTTGCTCTCACAAAATTTTAATTCATGTTAAACAAGCACAGACATGTCTCTGATAGACAGAACAGCAGCTGAACAGAAGCAAATAAATAATCTCAGATCTATGGGAAACCTGTCTTTTTATTTCTTTGTGATCCAATAGCCAAACACACTGCTTCTTAAAAAGGAAGAGGCATCCTCTCATCCTGAAAAGCTCACTGTCACCTGCAAAACCCATCTCTGTCTAAAAATAGTATGGGAAAGAAGCCATTACTTCCTGACTACAGGAATCACTCCTCCGAGTTGGAGAACTGTCTTCTCAATAAAAGAAATCAATGAAAAATGCTCCAACTACTTCTCCTGAAGCATCATTCTCAGAAGTGACAGAAGGAGTAGAAAAACTGAATATAGTCACATTTTCTCTATTTGCAGATGGCTCAGATATTGACCATGCCTACAAGGATCAAAGGGCAAAGATGATTCTACAGACGTGATTTGAAAGTATTTATAATCTTGCATCTGAGCAGCAACTGCACATCATGCATTTCCCTAACACTCTCAGTTTACTTCTGTGATGCATGATATGCAACGATATTCAGCACAACTGCCCCACAACTTTCCCCTAGAGGAGATTGTTTCAGAAGTCTGTTTTTCTCCTTCAGATGCTGTAAGTACTGCTGAGAGCCCCACACCTCCACTCAGACTCACAGCGGCCACACAAGTGAAAAGAAGAAAAAAAACCATTAAGATTGACTGTGTTTTATTAGATGCAAAAGGAAAACCATCAGTATCTGACAAATACATTTCAGTGAGTTCAAACAAAAAGATCTAGGGAGCTATAATATTTTAAAAAATTAAATTTTAATTAAAAGTTTGGTTGCTAATACCAAATTTACTGAGATTACTACAAAAAATTACAAACTTTTAAACATTTTTTTAAGAAATATCGATGTATATATCAGCATAGAAGAATCAAATAGTTCAAACAGCATCCAGACTCTGTCAAAGAAAAAATGGCTGAAGTAGATTTCCTGTTTGCATTAGTCAGTCTCACCGCCAGCTTTTCCAAGATGAAGATATCCCTGTCTTTTAGTTATTTATTGGCTAAAGAGATTGGGCTATAATTGAGATGACTCACAAGATAGAACATATATTATTAACAGAAATTTTAATATTTAATACAGAATGTTGAATCATCACATAATTAACTCCATAAACAATCAGAATGAGACCTCTTGGGCACTAATATGAGCTGAAGCTAAGCTCTGCTTTTTCTTTTTTTTTTTTTTTTTTTTTAAAGTTGGCCACATTGGTCTTATACCTTACATTTTCTTAAACAGTGACAGACTCAAGCAAAAATTGCATGTTTTTTTTTCTTTTTGCTAAGAATTCAACCTTAATATCATATACCTTTTAACTCCAGAGGAAACTGGTATCTGTCATAAGAGATAATATGAATATTTTCTTGTAGAAATTAATACAAGTTATACAGGAAAATTCTATCTTGGCAACAAAGCTTAAATCATACAATTCCTTAACAGTCTCAAGGCTGAGATCCTTATTTCTAAAATTAGATGATCTTTTCTGCTATAAACTCCCTCAAGGCCTCAGTTTATGCTCATGAAAACTTACAAAGGATCTTCAGCAAATTTACCAATAACCAGGTCATGATCAAGTAAGCAGTGTGAAGGGTGCTAAGTCATGTAAGCTGCCAAAATAACTAACTATATATGCACAACTGACATCTTTACCAATAAATGTACCAATAACTCCAGAATAATTCCTGTACAGCCAAGAAGTGCTGTCCCACAGATGAGAAGAACATCTCCTTATCCCTTCTATCTGCGTACCACAAATTTGCTGTTCCTGAATACACATGCACTCCAGAGCCCCTCTTGGTCACTGTGAACACACAGTAGTGAGTTTTTTTCAGAGCTGATGCACTGAGCTCATGGAAGAGAACAACAGAGCCTGGCCACAGGGCTGCACAATGCTGCATGCTGATGCATGCTAGCCTGTGTGTTGGAGCACATGGCTGAGAGGCAAGAGACCAGAGCTCTGCCTTCTTGCTGCGATGCACAGTGAAGAGGTGTAAAATCTGGGATGTGAGGTCTTTGATAGCTTTGGTGGGGGGGAACCTGAACTCAAAGCTTCCATCTCTTAGCAACCAGACTAAAAGCAAAGCTGTGGGAGGAGTCATAGCTGAAGTTGTGCCACTCACTGAGTGGAAACGTACTATACATAGAACAGAGACAGCAAACAGTCAGGGAGCATGACTCAGGGATGCTTCCAGCACAGCTCCCTGCCAATACTCCTGACTCAGCACCTCCCTATCACAAAACTCATCAGCTGCTCTGACATCATCAGGGGGATTCAAAGGCTTTGTATCAAACTAGTTACAGCCATGTGGGACACATGGTGTGGCCTGTGCTGGGAACTCAGGAGGTAACCACATCCTGTCAGGGAAGACACTCCCAGGGCCATGACATAGGTTGAGTAGGATGCCGGGCATGGTACTCTTGATTCTGCACATGAGATAATTAAAGGTGCCTTCTTCTAAATATTACACACATATTTAAAAGCAGTACCCAAATAGTGACTAAGGTGCCATTTGTTTCAGTCCTCAAGTTTAGGCTTAAGTGCTTAGCTCAGCACCTCAAGATACATAAATGTAGAAGCAGAGTAGGATTTTAGACAAGTGTTTTGTGAGCAGGCTCAGGGGTCAGCCCTACCTGTAGGATTATGAAGCATGAGTTGGGTTACAGGGGTTTAGGCATCACCTAACATGTACTTTCCTCTGAGATTTAAGCATTTTTAGGAATCTTCTTCACTTTAAAGGCAAAAGTTTGTACTAGAAAAAAGTAGTCTTTCTAACAGTATTTCCCTTCTGATTTCATTTGGGAGGAAAAGTAATTTAGGTCTTGAGCATGACCTGGAAACTGATGGAATCACAGAAATACCTCTTATGTACATACAGGTGCTAAAATGCATATTATCTGTTCATTTGATAGACTGGAATTTGTGACCCTCAACTTAGGGAGCATCAGAGAGATATACACTGCCTCACATTTACACCTAGGTCTATAACAGGAGAATAGATTTTTTTTTCCCCTTCAAATTCGAATAATTTTCTAACTATTTTTATGTAGTTCTCAAGTAAGCAATTAAATAACCTTCTAAGGAAAGTACATAATCAGAAAAGATTTCATGAACAATTGCATAGCCTGTATACCAAGGAAACCCTGCTCTGACTGACTGACAGTCTGAACATCTCAGGAACAGTTTAAAGGAAAATACCTCCTACAGCAGCACAGATGTTAGTACAGAATGTCACAGCTGTGCTACAAATAATCCAACTGGCAGCATCCCAGTGTCCAACATCAATGCCAGTAAAGATACAGTATAGACATCTTTTTAAGGAGTCTGTCTTTCCTGGAAACAATTCTAACATCACCAAGGTTCCTTTTTGTTCCTTATCTCCTTTACCACCACCATAACAATAAAAGAAACAGCTTATTAAAATAAAAAGCCCTGGCAAATTGATTCCACTCTGAGTTATGATCCCATTTATACACATACATACGCATCAAAAATTCTGCGTACTCTCTTTAAGACAAAACATAGCTATTGCCTTGGCTTTTACTCCACTGTTATCATTAAGCACAAAAAGCAAATGGACAATGCCAGCTGACCAAAAAGCTAGCAAAACCTCTGCAACGGGTATATAAATTGTGATGTTCCAAAAATGGCAAAGATGGTGACATGCATTTAACTTGCTGCTTTCACGAAAGGCACTGTCTACCAGATCAACAAATTAACAGCTCCGCAAATACCAGCTTTTAACTGCCCCTATGTCAAGGCAATTTTTTCCCACTCAATGAGAAAAAAGAGAAACAAAGGAACACTTTTTTGCCTCATGTTGCCTGACATTTCATTTTTGAATATATTAAACTGCTTAGTGTGGATTAGTTTTTGTTCCTGTCAATAAGTACTGCTCTCACAAGATGACTTTGAGGCTAGAAAACTTCAAATGTAGATTAGTCTTCAAACAGATAGGAAAGCCAGTCCTCCATTTCTTCAGCACAGGAAAGAACATATTCACTAGAAAAAGTGAAACACTTCCATGTTCTTTAAAATAATTTTTAGCCTTAATAGCTTGTAGTGGAGCTTTAGAAAAAATTAGATACTGTTTCATATATTTTCCTGTCTGGGCCACACCAATTTATTTCTGTGATTTTTGATTCAAAAGTGAAATAAACAGAAACCCCTGATAAAACCGTGCAGCAGTTTTCAACATATACCCAATTAATCCTCACAATACTCTTGTTGGATGGGACTTCTATCACTGTTTTTCAGATGGTGAGATTCTGCCAACCTTAAGCTAGCATCACCTAATACGTACGTGCTTGAGTTCTACAACCATAACAATATACAATGGCTTTTGGTTTGTTTAACTTTTTATTTTTTTAAATAATGGAAAGAAACTGTGAAATTCTGTCACAGGAAAACTCTACTGAATCTGCAGGGGCTATGAGTGGCCATCAGCAATTGCATGCAGCAGTGTTGGAAGCCATGGTATTCCTGGCTCCTATTACCAGGTCTGTAGGCAGACTCCCTTCTGGGAACCCAGGCATTGCTGCTGTTTCCCAACCTCCCACCACGACATGATAACATACATCCTGTACACTGCCTCTTGAAATTTGTTCCGTTCTGTGCCTTCCAAATGCCTGACTCATCCCACCCTCCTTGCTTTTGCAGTTTCACCTTCTATCCTGCTTCTCAGTTTTCTTGCCCATAAATTTTATTTTTTCCTTTTCAAACAAGACTCTTGTTCTCTGATACCTGAATAGCTCCAGCAACTCAAGTCCTTTCATTTCCTATTTTGCATTTCACCATTGTTAACACTCACCGATGGTCCCATCTGAAGTTCTCTC